AGCCAGCTTTCCTCTGGCTCTCCCAGTTATCAGCAACCCTGGGTACTGTGGGCATATCTGTTGTTCTGATGGTGTGAGTAAGCGCATACGAACAGCATACTGCAATCAGCGCTAAAAGTTAAGCATCTGAGCAGAAAATTGAGGTTATGTAAAAATATGAGTACTCCAGGAAATCTCAGTCTGAAATGGTTTCTTCTTCCCTTGGAGAAATCTAGAAATATTGTGCTGGGCCAGTTTTACATTGATCTGTCTGCTTGATTTATCTTGTGCTCCCAGTCTCTGCTATGGATATTCTTCCTTACCGGTTGTTCCAAGCTGCATTGACTCCTCCGAGTGAATCATTTTCACTCAAAGGACACAGACCTTTGAACATGTGAGATCCGATTAGCAAGCATGCTCCATAGATGGAAAGTAGAGATTATGACACTGGCAACTCAGACATTTTCAAGTTATACTGAAACCAAACAAGCCAAAGTGTCGTGGCTTGTTTTTTTGAACCAACTCAATCTCTTAATGTGTAAACACTTCAGCTTGGCTGAATATTGGAATGAAATGTTTTGACACAACCAATCCAAAATGTTTGATGCCTTCCAGTTAGTTAACTTCAATATTGTGAAATGTATCATTCCCAAACTGGAACGATTCACAGCTGGGATAAATGCCAGTATTTGTTGTCATCTGCTGTAAGGCAAGGCAGCCAGCTGCCATGGTGCACCTGAGAGTGCTCTTCAGAAATTTTTGATTTTGCTAAGGGAAAGTGTTTGTCAAGCCAGGCTTGTGGTTTAGCATCATCTTCTCAAACAAACAAACAAACAAACAGGAAAACCCACAACAAAAATCAACCAACTCTCTCTCAAGTCTGTCAATAACGGGCAAACACAGCGTCATTTTTTCACCTGCAGTTGACCCTGAGAATTTTCTTCTTGCTTTTTATAATGATCCTGGATCATGCATCTTCCCTGAGGATGCAGTTTTTAAAATGAAGCCTGAAGCGTCTCTGCCTTTGGTAGTATGCAGCCATGAACATACCTTTCTCCCCTGAACTGGGTTAACCCCAAAGCTTCTTTGTAAATTTTCTGCCACTGGTGCTATTAACCTGGCAGAGCATCTATATCTAGACTGAGCTAGAGGACAGCCAGACCTAGTCTGGATATGGCAGCCACTTGGAGAAAGTACCATACCAGACCCAGACCTGTTCATATCAGCCTAAGTGCCTAAGCCAAAGTAGTACAGTCTGGTGTCTCCACCTCTCCTTCAAATATAGCCCTTATTTCTGAGGGTCTTTCTAGACAGCTGAACAAAGAAGTCTTCCCCTTCCACAATGCACACATAGTGAAGCCATCCCCCTTCCCTACAACGCTTCTACTAACCTGAGTTAAATCCACAAATATAGCAAGAATAGCTGACATCCAAACTCTTGTTGGTTTTTCCCATCTGTCTTTAAGGTATGCAGTCTGTAGGCCTGAAAAATGGTCCTTCGCTGTCCTTTCTTTAAATGCACAGGTTTGCTTCCGACTCTGCAGGGAAGATTATTCAGAGCAGACAGCTTCTGAATAAGCAGAAGAGCCTTCCATGAAGGCCACCTATATATTGCAAGGAGGAGAAGAGGTTTGCTAGGCACAGGACAACTGCATCAGTGATGTGATATCCTGCTTCACCCGAGAAGCTCATTTGTTCAATCTGACCTATCCACAGGTGGCGTGACCATCCAGAGTATCCCTTCAGCGATGAATACTGAAAACAAGGTGTGTCCGGGCAGGTTCCTAACTCGGTGCCGTTAGGCTTCGCTGAAAGTGACCCAACGTTTGGTGCTTTGACTTCATGGGAGATTGTTCAAATCGGCATTAAAAACATGACGTTTACTTCCTCTTGTCTTGTCAGTCTCTTATTGCTACTGAAGAGCAAATCTATTTAACCTGTTGAATTTCTGGTTTTGGCTTAGGAGGCTTTAACTCTGAGCATTGAAATTTCAAAACTGACAGGTGAGAAAATTGAAGATTTCTCTTGAAAACAGGCTCACTAGTTCAAGCCAAATAATTTTCACTCAAGGGCACATTCTTCACTGAATTTGAAACAAGAAGTTCTGCTTCAGTAGATGTGAAGCAGTATCATTTTTTTCACAGCTCAAGTGAAAGAAAGTTAGGAGCGGGGAACTAATTGGATTTGAGAGATATATATGCGCATATGTATATTGATATATAGATAGATACAGATATATTCACTGCTTCGTGCAGTGAGGCCCGTTTCACTCTGACCAGAGTATTCTTCAGCTGCATACATGAGCTGCATTCCATAGGTACACCCCAGCTGGCTCCACGTGCAACTAGTTCAAGCCCTAAAGCATTATAAGCATGGTCATATCCCCCCCACTTCAGCAAAACACAGCAGAGAGTATGACTCTATTGCACCTACATTTGAGCTGCTGTACAAGGATGGTATTGCATAGCATTGCATATGCAACCGGAGCCATCCTGGAGCTAGCACTAGTGAGAGCCTCATCTCATTAAAAATCCCTTAAACTTCTTTCCTGCTCCACAAACTGATATTTACCCAAGAAAATTTCTGTTCGCTTCAAAATTCTTAGTCTTTTGTATAAACTCTTGTCCAAGACAATACTGAATTAGGAAGCTAAGTTTTAAAGGAGGAGAAGGTTGTATTTTGTTAAATACCAATTTCTACCATGCTTTGAGACTGCAGAACACTGGCAGGTCCAAGAAAGGGTAGGAATTGAGCAGAAGCAGCCAGGCTGAAACCTGGACAATTCCTTCAATCTGTCCTCAGCTCTCTGAAACATGGGGGCAGAAGCATGGACACCAGAGTAAGGAAGACTAACTCCTTCAGCATGAATTTCTTTTTCAGACCACTTGTTTGCTCAACAAGTTTTGCAGCCTATAGGTGCGTCAGTCTATACCCACATGTGCAGAAGGCTACTTTCCCTCCCTCCTGTGCCCAAGCACCCCAATTTCCTGCCACAGAGGGGGTACACTAGAGAGGTATTGGAGAAGAAATTAAACCATGCACAGAGAGAGTACTTCATGTACTAAAAGTGCATACTGCCATTGGAAAATGGGTCCTACATAATCTTCAGTCTATAGCATCTGCTTTTATTTATTACCATTGCTATTTATTATCCTTGGAGTGACTGGAACAGGAAAACGCCAGAGTGTAGTGTACATGGAGACACTTCTGTTGGGTCAGGGTGTGCTCCTCAGAGCTGAGGCACAGAGGTACAGGTGTGACCATTTCACAGGAGGAGCAGGCAAGGCTCTCGAATGGGTCGAGTGCCAACGCATCCCTGGATGAGCTCAGTGGGCACCACTAGAGAAGTCGGGCTCCTTCACCGCAGGTGGCCTTCACATAGCATTTATAAATCCATTTATAAAGCTATGTCAACAGAGGAGCATTCTGCTTGCTGGAGGTTACCCAAAGGCAATTCCCATTTTCCCAAGTCATGCCAGCAAATCCCACACCACCACCCCCAATTTTAATAGAATCATCCTCCTCTTTTGCATTGCCTCATTTGAATCTGATGAAAAAAGATTCAGCCTCTTCCCAGGGGCAAACGCTCCCATACTCGTTTCCATCGGTTATGAAACTGCTACTGATGTCTAGCCTAGTTTTTCCCCCGCTTTGCTCAGTTTCAGACCATTGCTCCTCATTGTTCTCCATCTTGCCCTACAAAGAAAAGGTTTGGAAGAGGGAAAATAAACAGGCCTGCAGATGGGGGCTTGGGAAATGCATTCCACCAGCAACTGCACAAAAAGACAGAAAAAACCCAAACCCCGGCCCCATGTACGATCTGCTCGCATCTAGCAAATTTCAGAGCCTTATTGAACTTGCTGCCTGGTGCAAAACACATCACTTGGAAGTGCTGCATACAGCCCTGCTCCAACCAGAAGGGTTCGGCATGGACAGAGGTCCAGCACCTCCTGCTCTGATAGCAATCGCACATGACAAGAATAGACCCAAAGCGTACCGGGAAAACTTACTTGCTTTTACCATAAGTAACCTGAGTAGTTTGTGACTCTTCCTGTAGCTGCAAAGTGGAATGAAATCCAGACCAGAGAAGTTTGCTTCAACTATGCACAAGTGACTTTATGGCAGAGAGAAGAACAAGTGATGCAGCATTTTGGATTCTTTTTGCAGCCCAAGAGCTGCTCTGGGCTGGCCAGGAGAAAACCAGATGATATACTCACGTCCCCAGCAGCAAAGGAGTTGCCACAGCTGTACATTAGAACATGGGCTTACCCAGCTGTTGGAGGAAGAGACATTCCTTGTTGTTACACAAGCTCAGGGCAGAAGAGCACAAGGCTTTGCAGCTGCTGCAGCTGGGCCCTTCCTTGGGCACGTGCATGCTCATGTTTCATAGGTGAAGCAACAAGGAAGCTGTCAAGCAGTTATCGTGCAACATGCTGACATTACCCAAACCCTGCACTACATGGTTAGCTGAATTTGTTTCCCCATAGGGAGGCAGAGCTTCATCTTCCCCAAGACTAAATATCTGGAATAGGACTCTGTTTCAAAAGGGACATGCATCCAATTTTCCCTGATGCTGTGTGGGTGCCCACAAGAGGAACGGGGAAAATAGTAAGAGGCAAAGTGGGATGGGTCCTGTGTACATTTTACAGCCTTACATTAAAGAATGCCCTTTGGATTTATATTGCACATTTTTGTACCACAAAGCTATCAAGAGGTTTTACAAGGGTGTATAATGTGTCCTGTGGAGGAAAGGGCAAGGGGCCATACCAAGCCGTCAGCCAGAATTAGGACACAGTTTTGGGTAGACGGAACTGGACACAGGGGAAGGGAAGGCAGTACGTCCCATAGTTTTCATCCCTTGCCTGCCAATAAGGTCTAGGTGCCACAGAGCTGGGTGCTCTGCAGTAAAAATGAGATCTCTCGTCCCCTGGCCAAGGTGTAATGATAACTGAGGACAGAAAGTGAGTTTTGCAAACAGTACGAGAGTATTGGGGGCCACAAAAGACAAAGTCTTTGGTTACATACAGCAGGGTCCTCACCTGGTAAGGCTTCCTCACTTCACTCCTCTCTTGAATCCAACAAACCCCAAAAGCTGCTCACCTCCAGACTGACAGGATATTTAACCACTACCACAACCTTGGGACGTGCAAAGGAATTCAACAGCAGAGAGGCTGCTATTTTCCTTAACTAATTAAGATCACCTCATAACCAGAATCAGAGCTGATTCTTCAATTTAGTGTGTGAATCATTGAAGTGTAGAAGCAAAGCCAGTGTTGTAGAGACTTTTAGAGGAAAAGAAATCACATGCCTGGGATATGCAAGACATGTCTTGTATCTCTGCAGTGAACAGAGAGGACAAACTCGGATCCCTTACATACATTCGGTCTGATCTGTAGATTTAACATGAGATACCACCTTCCTCACTGTGAGTAGCGCCAAAGTCCCCTTGTTGCCATCCACCAAATTGAAACACTTTGAAATAAATCGGTTTAGTATTTGCAGGACAACTCCCTTATTTTCTGGGAGGAGGAAGGGAGGGAGCGGCTGTTTCCAGACATATTTTGCCCAACTCTCAACAGGACACAATTCACACATCTAGAGGAAAGCACTGAGGTGGAGAAGAAAGTCTGTAAGAGAGTGACATGTTAGAATGAGAGTCAACATGCTTATTTCACTTGTGACCTAAACTGCAAAAACATTTGCCTTTGGGGATGGGGTAATCAGCACGCAGTTGGGTACTAGTGCAGTTTTTATACTAATTGATTCTCAGTAGTGCCATATTTCAGCTCTTCCCAACATCCTACTACCCTGGAGCAAAAACCCTAGCTCATAATAAAGGGCTTTGAGAGTGCGAAAAACAAATAAAGTTAATTTTAATTTTTCAATGCCAGACAGGCTCCTCAGGGAACCTTCACTCAACATGCATGAGCAATACTGAAAACAGGACAACACATTGCAAATAAAATGCAAAGCAGAACCAAATGGAAAAAGAGGAGGGAGAGAAGGAGCTGGAAAGAAGGACAACATGTGTGTGTAAACACATACACATGCACACAGAGGGGCACCACTCGATGAAGCTGCTCAGTTTTTGCTCTGTAGACTGCAAAGCTACCTGGATGGAGGCCTCAGATCGGTCCAAGGTCGTTGAACATAGCAAAGGCAAAATCCTGCACCAGGACAAATGTGCACTCAATTACAAGTTAAATGAGAGCTCATGATGACCTAGAACACATCTCAGAGCAGCCTCATGCATAACAAGGAAAAAGCTGTGCAAGCGCAGGGTGCTGAGGGCACTGGATAGGATCCTGCTAACATTTCAGCTCACAGAAATCAGGAGTGACTCTGCTGACTCAAGGTTTACACCAGTGCAGATGCACAGAACAGAGGTCCCATGCCCTTAGTGCAAGGAAACTCATCCTAAATTTTCTGTTCCCCCCAATTAGCCTGACCAATGTTGTTCTCCCAGGTCAGGGCAGACCTTGGGGAAATCTTGTGAAGAGTATTTTGTCTTTGTGATCTCTTAGGAAAATTGCTTTTCTCCTCATGCCACCGTGTCTCAGCTTCCACCTACAGGGCAACACTCAGAGCTCCTCACGTGTGAAATAGAGAGGTTTCCCAGCAAGGTGACCCCACCAGCCCAGTATTGATGTCCCCAAACAGTCCAGAGTAGCTCACACCAGCTGTTTGGCAGCATACTTTGCACAGGTCCTCCCTGCTTTTCCATAGTGGTGAGACTGCAGTCCTGCATTGCTTTTCTATAGGATGAGTAGGAGATTGCCTTTACATT